GGCTCACCTTGATTTTCCAAAGCCATCTGGTTGTAACCCCATTAGAGTTTCAAGTATAAAAGCAGATTGGACCAGTGGGATGACTAGTTTTCCTGAAAGCTAGCCTGACTGTGGGTGACGTGTAGGGCCTTGTGAGCATCGTACTTAAGCCCAAGAACAATTCAGGTTTCTTTTCATCACTGCCCTGACATCGGTAGGGCCCTATCATCCCCCTGTAAATCTCGAGCATTCTCTGAAGCTGGGAAGAATTAGGTCAGGTAGAAAGTCAAGTGTGTAGGCATTCTGAGGAATGGGAATGAGGAAAAACCAACCAGTTCTAAGCCCTCTCCATGTATCATCTCGTTGAATTCTCAGGACATGCCTGAGATAGGAACTGTTGTAATCATTTCCTTTCTACAGGTGAGGAGTCTGAGTTGAAGTGAAGTAACACCCCAGCTTACTCAGCTGGTTTGTGGCAGAAGAGAGATCTGAACCACACGGTGTTGTTCCACAGTATGATCTTTCTGCTGCAGGGTGGAGGTCCCCTGTCTTGGTCAGGCCTAGGAGGTGGGAGGAGGAGGCTGATTCTCAGCACCACTCATTTTAAACAGGCAGGTTTCAAGATGCTTGAAAGCTGATTGAAGTTCCCATCCTTTCTGGAATACTGGAAATCTGACAAGTTCTCTGATTTCCAAGGTCATGGTTTCCCCCCTTTTGCAATCCAGCACTGACTGGCTCCTTTACAATCTTGATATACCTCATCCACCCATTGCCCTCACAAATAACTGCTTAATGGGTCTCCAGTAACGCCAGCCAATTCCTTAAGGGCTCTTGAGAGATGATCTGGGAAAGCCAAGAAATCTCATCCAACTTTTAAAAGTGATCTTTGATCAGATCTTTTCTTGCCTCCATCTCCCCACGTGACCTGAGTTAACTGGTCTGCTTCACCTCACAGAGCTCTTTCAATCAAGAACACATCTTGAGAGCAATCAGTTCTGGATCTAGAGTATAAAAGTTGGGAGGGAAGAGGGGATAACTGAAGCCAGAAATTTCAGATACACAGCTTCTCAGACCAGAGTTCCTTTCCTGCATTCAGCGCATGCCCACTGACTTCACCTGGTTGCCATGGAAACATCAGTCTCTGATGGTGGCAGCAGCACTTTGGACAGAAAGCATCACAGGCTACCATGGTAACCCCCAAAACAGTAAAGCTCCCTTCTCTTTTGGAAGGGTGAGGAAGAAATGGAAGAGGGTGCTGAGCTAAGCAGGCTACAGGGATAGCTTCTGGAAAGCCTGGGTCTGATTTGAACTGAGAGGGGATTAATTTAACTCAACAGATATGAAATATGTACAAAGACAACAATAATGAAAATGACACATCTATGATTGACTTCATCAAGATATAACCACAGACTAACAGAGTTTACAAAGAACTGTAAATAAAGTCAGAATAAGAACCAATAGGACCAAGAATACTGAAAGGAAAATAAACTTCAACTAGGAAAGCATCAGAGTCTTAAAGAACAGGATTTCTGACCAGCAGAAAGAACAAGACAGTACAAGACAAGAAAGAACAAGACAGTAGACATGGAAGTGGAAAAATTCAAGATATACTGAGAAGTATGGATATAGAGACAGAAAAAGTGACACTTCCCCATGACTCCAAGGCTTTAGCTTTCACAGTGATGCTGAGAAGCAGGTTAAGATCAAGGGATCTGAAGCTAGACTGTCTGGACTGGGATCCCAAACTTGTTAATTAGATAATCAAGGGACAAGTTAGTTAACCTTTTGGGTGTCAGTCTCCTCAGTGACAAAGTGAAGATGAAAAAAGAATCTACTTCAGAGGGTCATTGTGAAGATTAAATGACAATACACATAAAATGATTAGAGCAATGCCTAACCCACAATAAATACTGCGTAAATATAAATTCTCATTATTGTTAACCACCTCCCACCACTCACTTTTCAGAGTCAGGATAGCCTCTTCTCATTGTCCAAGTAACAGTTTCTGATTCAAACCAAACTTTAAGAGAAAAGAGGAGCTATGACAGAGTATCTTCATTTAAGTTTTTAGTTCCTTTCCCTTTTCCCTAAGTGCAAAACGCGAAGACTAAAGGTTCATAAGTCACAGCCCTGCTTCCATGGTAGCTCACATCTGGGGGTGGTTAGAGTCTAAGAAGGAAATAGGATGAATCCCAAGGTCAAGAATACAGCAGTTTAAAAAACAGGGCTGCCTCAGAGAAGACAAAAGTGGAAGCTGTAAGCCAAAAGTCAGATGAAAATCCCCTTTAGAGTTGAGGATTGGTGGGGAAATTGTAATTGCACTGGGAATGGATTTGAACAACAGTCTCATCTCTACTCCCACTTTAGCCACCATGCTCAGGCAGAAGGTTGAGGGAGGCTTCTTTACATTAGGCTGAGCCAAGGGGTTATCTACTGCCCCCTTCGCTACACTCCAACCACCCCCTATACAGTTATGAGTAATAAGAAGGCCTTGAGTCACAGGCAGTGACACTGTCATCCATTAGATGCTGTTACCTTATATGGGTTAACATTAGAACAGAAGTTGTCTTAGACATCCCCTTACTTCCACCCTTGTCTTTCTCCCACAAAGTTACGTGAGGATCTGAGAGCAAGGAAGAACTGAGGTGGAAGGACCCACAGTTCAGGAAGGCAAAGCAGCCAGGGATGGAAATATAAGGAAAATGAGTAGCGATTGGGCCCACCTGAGGCAGGAGGCAAGGCCTGTGGGTACTTAATAGTGCGAAGGCATTCAAGACTGCCATGAGGAGGCCTGGTCCAAGCCTTGGGATGATGTATACAAATAAGTCTGTACTGAGCTCAGGATGCATTAACATCCCAATCAATAACTACATGGGGACTGGGCCACAGCCAGCTGCTCCTACCTAAAAATAATGCAGCCTCCTTCCTTTCTTCAGGTCCAGAGGGCAAACAAGGATAAGGAAGGGGTAGGGGTGACAGTGGGTGAGGTTGCAGCAGCCTAGAAAGCCCTCCAAGTCCCAGTGGCATTCTGTGCCACAAGTAGGTTTCATGTACTTAACACTTCAGTGTCAACAGCAACCTCAGAAGCTCACCATCAAAAAACCAGCACTCTGCTTAGAAGCCTTAACTGACAAATTAAAAAACCTAGCAGCAATTATCCATATTTTTAGCATGACAATAAAGCCTTAACATTGTTGCCATAGAGACCAGTAAAGAATGGAGGAGGCCCACAGGAGGGAGACAGGTCTGAGGTTCAGCCCTGTCCCTGGAACCTCAGACCTTCTTGGTTGGTCCACAGTTGGTGAGCCAGGCTCTGGTCTGGCTCCGTGTCCTAAGCCTTACAAAGCAGGCAGAGGAAGGTGTGCCTCACCTTTGGCAAGGACATGCCTAGAACACTCAGCTCCCTGGAATGCGTGGATCAGCCCAGGCCTGTGTTGTCCGAGGCAGAGCCACATGGGAAGCGAGTTGAGGGGGCTGAAGAACGAACAATTGCAGACCTAAGGCCTAGGGGAGCCCTGATGTGTAACGCCCAAACCCCTCTGGATACTAGACTGGATTTCTACACAAAGAGGTCCAAAGGCAGGCCACAGAGATCAACAGGTTAAGAATGGTGAGCTGAGGAGGCTTCTTTAGTACTGAAGCTCCTCAGGATCACGAAACCCTCTGCCCCCAGAAGGTGCAGAATGTGCTACTGTCACACTGCCATCTGGTGGAAAGACAAGATCTGTCCCCAGGTAGAGCCAGAGCTGGAGAGTCTGTCCGATGGGCAGGCAAGTTGAGAGAAAACTAAGATAAAGACAGGGGCATGAAGACCACGGGCGTATAAAGCAGACATGGACAGGGTGTGTGCCTTGCCTCATTTTCTTCTAAAAGATCAGATTTTTTAAAAATTAAAGGAAAGAAAACACGATGGCATTACAAATATTTTATATCCCGAGATCCATTTGTGGTGCTGGCTCAGAAGTTAATATCAGACAGACACACTATGGACTGAGACCACACACATATGGGCAGCAGCCACCACAACAGTGGGACATGCCTTTAGTACAAAGTTTATATATATATATATATATTTATATTTATGTACACAGACACAGGGTATAAAATCCAGTGAGAAGGGCTCATGGGTGTCCAGCAAGGGGACAAGAGTGGCTCTAACAGCTGGGCTTAAGCCCAGTCTCTGGAGGCACAGGGAAGCGGTGGAGAGCAGTCGTCTCCCCTCCACACTCCCACCCTGGTCCAAAGGAAAAGACAACTGCACAAAGCTGGATGGTACCAGAAAGGTACCCTACCTTTCATTAAACTCCTGAATGCCCCAAAGACATCCAAAATGGCTGGCAGATTATTCCCGCACCTCCCAGCAAGACCCTGAGCCCACAGAAGCAGTTTTGGCCCCAAGCTGAGGTCTAACGCAGGCTTCCTAACGCATACGTCCGCACTACCTTCCAGGGCCCTGTAGCAGCAAGGTTCAACCCCTCACACTCTAAAGTCCTCACAGACCAGAGGTTTCCGGGGTTTTCTGTGACAGATTGCAGGATAAAGGTAAAGGAGGAGAGCAGTTAGTTCCTTCAGTTAATGCCCTATGGCCTTTCCAAAGGGGTAGGAAACAAACAATCAGTAAGAGGTGGTTGGGAAGGACAATGAAGGTCATCCCAGGAGATGATGAACACAGACAAACATGTTCAACGCAAGTGTAGATGCTGTTCTCTTCGACCAGCAGCTTTGATCAGTAGAGTCCATTCCCACTGGGGCTGTGGTGGGTAGGAGCCCTTCTTGGTGTCTATGGGGGGCCCCAGTTCCCCCACCATCAGTGTTCATGCCCTCAGGATGGCTTGGTCCACAAAACGGAGAGAAGGGGCCGTGGAAGGGTAGACGTGGAGCAGGGAGTGGCAGGACCCAGAGGCACAGGGAGGCAGTGGACCAAGCCACTAATTTACCTGTGGCAAGGAGAAGATGTAAATAGGAAGCTGAAGGAAAGAAAATAACTATGAATACTGATGCGAGCTGGGCCTTGTGACTCACATGGTTTGGGGGGTAAAGAGGCTGGAAAGCTGGAAGCACTGGGAGGCGATTGCCTGGGAGGCGAGGTTCAGGGCCGGACTCAGAGCTGGAACAAAGAGAGGCACAGAGAGTTAGCACAGAGTATTCCTGACTTCCAGGCCTAACCCTTCTCTCCCTTCCCCAAGTTCAAGTCTACCAGTCAGAGCTGCTGGGTTCAGGGCCCCCAGGGGAACTGCTCCATTCAGTTGCAGGGCAGCAGCTTGAGCAGCAGCAGCTTGGGCCACAGCAGCGGCAGCAGCATTGGTGGTTGGCAGCTGGATTCCAGAGCCTCAAAGGGAAAGAAGAGATAAGGTTAAGTCCTAACCCTCAATGTAAATTTCAACCCCACGTTCTTCACGCCACAAAGAAACCTACCTTCTGCCAATTTGGCCATGAGCTGCAAACGTCCACCTGCTGATCCCAGGTCTAGCTCCTGGTCTCCATCAGGAAAAGTGATGTCTGTGCCACCATCCGGTCGCTCGGTCACGTGGCCAATCCTCATAGGTCGACCAGCAAGCTCAAAGCCATTCAACTGTTCCAAGGCCCGCCGGGCACACTCTGAGTCAGAGAACTACAAGAAATCCAGGCCATATCAGGTACCTCTCGGCCACAGACCTGCTCCCAAAGCCCCAGGAACACTCCCCAGTCCTACGGTCCCAGGAAAATGGCATGCTCACTGTGGCTCAAACTTTTCTTTCCCAAGGAATGTCACCTAGCATCCCATCCTCCCAAATGGTTCTCTGAAAAGAACCCTTTCCAGCTGACTCAAGGGCAATCACTTCTCAATCTTCCAGCTCCACTAAGAACCTAACAGTGCGTTATCTGTAGGGAGCCTCGCCTGACTGGCTGTTTCACAAATGGGTATATCAGATGAAAGTAATACAGGCTGAGATCCAAGGCTCCTGAGTTTCATTTCAGCCCTCAGGACTAGTAAGTTTCAGTCTTTAGTCAAGAACTAGGGAAAGCACAGCCTCAGGAGGGCACACAGCCTGGTGTACTGAAAGCAACACTGCACCCCCACTCCACCCCACCTCTCTGGCCTACTGGCGGCGGGGCCTCTACTCTAGAGTCCCTTTCAGCAGCAGCCTGACATAATGAGGATTACTAGCCTGCTGTTTATGTGTCAAGGGTGTTGACCTAAAAGGCAGTAACACAAGGGCAGAAAGACGCCAGAGGAACCTTTCTGAATCTGAGTCACATGGGGAGCTAAAAAAGGTACTTGCCACCATGAACCCCACAGCTGGCTGTGTTTACTCCAGTATTACCTGCTCTAAGGCCTGGCACGTGGTAATGACAGTTCCTAGGCAGGTGGTGTATGTAGGTGGCTTGCTTTTACTGGATACTTCTGTGATGAGCAATTCCCATGGTAGAACATAACCTACCTCCCCTCTGCCCTGCAGGCAACTGTGGGGGTGTAGGCTGCCTGGATTGAGCCCAGAAAATAGCAGCTTCTATCAGACTTTGTGGCTGGCAACCAGTCCTCAGCCTGGAGTCACATGGAAGAACCAGTTATGGGAGACAATTTTGTTGGAGTGTCAGGAAAAGGTGAGACTTGCCCACTATTAGGTGGCCTCACTATTTTCCCTACGATGGTATTCAAATATTAAAGTATTTCTCAGTGGAGAAACTGCTTCAAACAGAGTAGCAACAGAGGGAAGTATATAACTTCTTATTCCCACCCCATCATGAAAATATACCAAATCTATAACACACATCTACAATAAAGCCCATACCTGACCTCCCTCATCCCCCAACCTCAGCTACAGCCTGGAATTATTACTATTACCCAAAGAGCAAGTTGTAGCACCAGGGAGGCTGGTTGAACTCCTGGACACCCCATACCAGTGCCACTGACAGAGTGTGGGAGCAAAGCCAAGATCTCAAGCAATGCGTTCATCTCAAGGGGCAGAAGGCTAGTCCAAGCTTCAGGCAACAGAGTTTATGGGTCATTAAGACCATTCCTATGGGAGGAGGATGAAGCTGAGCTACAAAACCAGACAAGTAGACAAACCTAAACTAAAATTAAAAGACTAGAGACTCACCGTAATAAAACCATAACCTTTGGAGCGACCTGTTTCTGAGTCCTTCATCAAGACAATATTATCAATCTGCAAAATAAAGAGAAATAACAATCTTCTGGCTAAGCCACACCTTTGGATCTTTCCTACCCAGACTGTTTTTTTCAGCTGTGCTATGCACAGCATGTGGCACGTAGGACGTTAGTTCCTCCACCAGGGATGGAATCTGAGATCTGTGCCCGCAGAGATCTGTGATCTCTGCGCAGTCGAAGCACAGAGTCTTAACAACTGAGCCACCAGAAGTCTCCTACTTAGATTGTTCTAAATACCTCTGTCTTTCTAACCAACCTATTACATTTCTGCAAATCATTTTAAAGAGAGAGACAAAAGTCATTTCTTTCTAAACACTTTTGCTAAGTCATCTTACTTAATCTGGACCCCACTATTTGATTTCACAGTGCCTAATTTATCTCCTGGGCAGTAAGAATACAGAGATGGAGCCAACATTCCCAGGAGGGACCCACATAGCCCTTATGAAACATGCAGTGGGTTAACCATGATCAGACAGATGAGGAGGTACACTCACCCTCCCCACTTTTCCCAAATGCCTTCAGAGGTTCCCCTCTCTTTCCACTCACTTTGCCAAAGGGCTCAAAGATGCCCCGGAGCATGTCCTCGGTGATATTGAAGTGTAGGGAGCCCACATAAAGGCGCATTGGTCCACCACTGCCCTTCTGCAGGTTATTGGCCATGGCTGCCAGGCGGTTTTTCTCAGCCTGCCAAAGGAGGAAATGATGGGTTATGCTACACACCTACCACATTCAACTCCATCTTCTCAAGTCCATTTCTCAGGCTGCTCACCTGTGACGCCTGTACAATGATAGGCACTCCTAGCAGCCGCTGCCCAGTCAGCCCAATGGCCAGCGGCACAGACTGGATCTCACAGAATTCTACATAGGCAATGCCTTTAGACCGACGTGAGTTTCGATCTGAGATGATACGGACGTCTCGAACCTATCCAGGGCAGAAGGGAAATCCTGAGTTGGGCATAAAGGGGGATGGATAGAAGACAGGCTACCCCAAGCTAACCAAGAAGGAGAAGAGGGTTACCTTGCCAACAGCAGAGAAAAAGTCCTCCAGGTCTCGAGGCCGAATGCGGGCAGCTAACTGCATGCAGAACACTGTGCGGGCATCCCGCTCCTCTGGACTCAGGTTATCAACTGGCTCCCTAAAGAGTACAACTGTTGAGACCTTCCCTCCCAATACTTGGTCATCATTCTTTAGCTGCCCTCAAGAACTACACATTTCTGTGGTTTGGCTCAAACCACTTTTTATTCATAATTCACAGTCCCTGAAAGAGTGTGCATTATCAACTCACCTGACTGGGCTCTTCTCTCTGAAATGAGGACTCTTACTGTGTCCATACCTACGCCTACAGAACAGAGAACAAAAAAACTGAAAACCACGTCTAGTCACATTGGCCCAGTGCTGAGTCTTCCACCATGAGAAAACCAGATTACAGCACCTCATCACACATGCAAATTCTGAGTATCACCCCTCCAGTAACTGGGTCTCCTGCCCATCCCAACAGGATATAGGCACCCTTGGGCAGGGACCATTGTGTACTTGGTTTTACCCAGAATACAAAGGTGATCTTATTAGCAAAAGGTGATACCCAGTGGCAAGCGGTGGACTCCTGTAGTGTACACGATCCTCACGACGCCAGTCTCGACTTCGTGACTCACTACTATGTCGACGATCCCAGCTACGGCTTCGGTGGCGATGCTGCCGATCTCGACTTCGGCTCCGACTATTTTTCCGCCTGTGACGATCCCGGTCTCGACTACGACTTTGGACAAAAATGACTATTAAGTTCCTTCAAGAACAAACCAACCTCCTCTTTAATGTATACCTTTCCCTGGTATCTTTCCATTTATAATTCTCAAAACCCAAGTGTCCCCAGAACGACTGACCTGCGTTTTCTCTCCCTGCTTTTACTATGGCTCCGGCTCCTCTTCTTCCTGTGGGAGAGTATCAACTCTCATTACAGAGGTTTGATTATCTCTCCCAAGGAAACCAAATGACAGTGAGGCTAGGATGAAACAAAAACCAGCAAAAGACCAAAGCCTAGAAGACAGTACGGTAGGAATTCATGACAATGGTATGACATCAGTTTATACACAGCCCTGAATACTGTCAGGTATATGAAATGGCCATTTCCCCTCCATGGAACAGGACAGTATCTGATGTTTTCAAATCAGAGATCCTCTTGTTATTTTATTCAAATGAAACACATCAAAACTAGGACTGATCCACAAGTCTACATTGGAAGATCATTACACCAAATCACCATTATTCCCATGACCCAGTGGAGCTATTACTAAAGTAGGAAGTCTTATGAACAACCACCTCTCTGTTCCAGCTGTTTCTATAATGCACAAAGCTGTCTTCCTTCCCCAAGCAGCCAACCCACTTTCCTCATGCCACACTCACTTGCTTGCCTCCCCACTCGTGCCATTCCCATTGGTGGCACTGGTCCTGTCAGTGACGCTGCTCCCATCGGTATCACAGCCACTGGTGCCAACGTTGCTGGTGCTGTTGGTCATGTTGCTGGGACTGTCCTTTTTAACCTCTTTCCTTTGCTGCTCATCCTAAAGGGTTCACCAGGAAAATGACACAAGGCATCAGGTGGCAGACACACAGATTCCATTGGGCAAGGAAAGAACAAAAGTGGACAGGGAAGAAAGCTCATGAAATCAAAACTCTCAATTATCTTAACAGTTTCTGAGCGCCTAGATCTCCTAACAAAGAGGGTAAGAGAAGAAGTATGGAAACTACCCAAAAAGAAGAGATGAGATTTTAATGTCAAACTTTAGCTATCCGACATTTGTTCGTTCCACTAACATCTATTTCCCAGGAGAGTGAGAAATGAGTTACATCTGAGATATAGCAACTTTCTTCTGTGTCACTGAGAGCTGTGGGCAAAGCGCTCCCATCCCAACTTTATTTGCCCCCTCATCCCCAGTTTTCAGGGCCCTTTCTGCAAGCATGGCCTTTGAGTACTGGTCTCCAGCAGTGACTACTAAAAGATTATACCTTTCGTGAACAGCCACTGTACATAATAAATGAACAGACAAAGAAAATTCCTAAAACACTGAAACTGATTAGCCACAACTGCTTTCTCTTACTAACCCAATTCCAAGAGTGAGATGGGGAATATTACCTCCTCTTTTTTATAGGGAGCCTCCAGCATGGCCTCAATCACTATATCAAAGTCATCGGATGCCATTGTAGCAGATCTGAGGAAAAGATATCAATACATAAGAACCTCATTTATATTTTTCCTCCCCTTCCGGCACCCCATTCCCTCCCTCTTTGAAGAAACAGACATCAAAATATACAGTTCTGTTACCTGAACTCCGAAGGTATCTTATCAGCTGTTGCTTACCCTCCATTTATTTTTGCACCTTAAAGATGTGAACTAGTTCTGCTTTGTGGCTTAGAAAAGGTCAGGGTCTAGAAGAAAATTAGATGTCTAGGGACAGACAAAATATAATACAGACCTTTTCCTGTTAAAATGCAGGTATTCAAACTTACTATTTATATTGGGCACTTGGCCTCTATTCTACTATTCAAAATTCTGAATAATTGCTTTAAACTTAAATTGGCACGTATTTCCATTAAAAAGGTAAGACTACAAGAATAAAAAGTAAGAGCAAGGCAAAGTAATACCAGAATAATGCAGATTTGTCCTAAGCTTTTCTCCACATCCCTAACTCAAACACACAAAAATGAGGGGATTCATCATTAAGCATTTTTTGTACAACACCAACTAGAGTTGGGGTAATTCAGAAAGACTGTGATTAAAATGGCTTAACCAGTCCCACTCTGAAGCATTTCTGTTTAGGCACATACAGTAGGACTTCTCGCCTACCCCAAGCTTTCATATTTAGCAATGGTCTTTCTCAAGTCTGTTCGTCACAGGTCTGTCAAATAATAAAAACAGAAGACACCAAACAAATCAACAGGATAAATTATTCAAAGATTACTGCTCCAAAATTATAAAAATATGTAACACAGATAAATCTCAAAATCATTACATTGAAAGAGGTTACCAAAAAAAAAGTACATACTGTATGATGTACATTTACATAAAATTTTAGAAAATGAAAACTAACCAGTAGTGACAGAAAGCATGTCAGGGGTTACCTAGGGACAGGAACAGGTGGGGAAGGGCCAGGATGAAAAGATAATAAAAGAACATTTTGGAATTTGGGGGGGGGTGATGGTTTCATGGGTGTTAGCACATAACAAAACCTACCAAACTGTACATCTTAACATGTATAGTTTTATTTTATGTCACTGATATCCTAATAAAACTTAAAAAAACTAATCTGAAGAATTTCTACGCAGAGAGGCTAAGTGTGATTAAGACTTTCCATATACACAAGAATTTTGCCCTCTTTAAAGTAGCTAATGCATCATCCAATCATCATGCTGTCTTGACTGGAGACAGAGTCCACAGCTTATTTTGATGACTTAATAAAAGTAATCATATTTACCATTTGTAGTACCTGACATTGCTGGGCACTATGCTAAACATGTTACAAAGATAAGATTCTTGGAAGCAGCCAACAGTAAAACTTAGTTGGACCCAAATTTAAGGCTTAAAATGGAAACCAAACCAAAATCAAACAGGTGTCTAAAAACCAGTGAACTCAATCTCTTATCTTACATTTATTTAGTAATCAGTGGTAACATATGCTACAGGCAATACTGGATCTAATACACAGAAGAAAAAACTGAGGTTCTGTGAACAGCCCAAAGTCACAAAGCTCAAATGGAGGAGCTGATCCTTGATCAGAAGCCTTCTGACTCTAATGTTCAGGTTACCACTCTCTCATGTGGTTTGTCGAAGAAGGCAATGGCACCCCACACCAGTACTCTTGCCTAGAAAATCCCATGGACAAAAGAGCCTGGAAGGCTGCAGTTAGCAGCAGCAGCAGCGGCGTGTCGTTTGTAACTTAAAGGAAAATTTTTTTTTTTTACATTTGAATAGAAATTTTATTATTTTCATTTTCCAAGTGTTTTCTTTTTCTATCAGGGGAAAAAAAAAAGAAATCTTAAGGACAGTTGTCACTTGCTGCCAAATTGAGAGCAGTCTTTCTCCGGTGGTTTAGTCGCTAAGTCATGTCTGACTCTTGTGACCCCATGGACTGTAGCCTGCCAGGCTCCTCTGTCCATGGGATTCTCCAGGCAAGAATACTGGAGTGGGTTGCCATTTCCTTCTCCAAGGAAATTTCTTAAAAAAGAAAAGTACACAGCATACCAAGATGTCTATTTTTAAATATACACCAATCTGGAGAATTAATGTTCTCATAGGTATATGAAAAGAATCAGTCTCATTAGTCACACCTTATTGTGTGGCTTATAGAGATAATCGGTTCGTAATAGTATATGCTTCAAAAAAAAAAAAAACAGTATATGCTTCAAAATATTAGGAACCAGGCTGATTTTAATATATGCTATCTGACCTATTGTGTGTGGGGGGGAATGGTTCTATAAGTAAGTTTTTGATCTACAAACTCTGTTCTTTTCAGTCATCTGACTGCCAAGTCTATACAAATTTTTTAAGTGTCATAACACTCCTCTTCATGTTTTATAGCCTGCCTTTAATTCTCCAAATGAAATGCTTCTAATTTCAAGAACCGCTCTTTGTTGTACAGTGCAGGGATAACTTAAGATATGCAACAACTTTCACGTAAGTTGACAAAGGAACCCCTACCTGTGGAATAGTTTTCAGACCTAAGAAACAAATGAATGGATCTATTTAGAAACACACATATATAAAACACTAGCACACTTCGAAACTTGCAATCTTGCTGGGTTTAGTCTATCTTTCTAGATGTCCTAAAAAGCAGAAAAGTCCCAAACACAGGCGCTTTCAGGTCGGGAGTTTTCAAACTCTTTAAGTCCTAACTTATGGGTCAAAGTTCATTCAATACCATACGATAAAACATTATACAGCTTTCTTCCAACCCTGCTCCAAAAAGTGAATTAGGAACCCACAATCATGGTATCGCGTGGACTTTGTCATAGCACAGACTAGACCCAAGCCGGCACTTAGGCCCCACTGCAGCCGGGCCACAGGAAAGCGAAAAACCACTGTCAGCCCTAATCAGGCATAATTCATTCACCAAACGCTGAAATCTCAGGGGTAATGGGCAGCGCCACCTCCTGGGTCTGGTCACTGAGCTGGGCACAAACATCTCCAAACTGAAGACAGCTTAATTAAGAACAATGAGAAAGACAAAAACATTCCCATGTGTAACAAACTAACAAACCAAGACCACGCTTCAAAAAACGGTCCTACAAATAACTTACTGGCAGCGTCTCTGTGAGGGCCAGTGTCCCGATGCTAAAACCTCCTATGTGGCCCCACTGAGCCGCCAACACAGTGAACATGAGTCTAACACATAGGGAAGACTGAGGAAGAAACCTCAATTCCCTCATCTCTCTCTGGCGCCACTAGGGGTTGAAAACGGATTCCACGAGTCCTCTGAGACCGCGGTAGGTCGATGCTCCCTCCACAGTGTGGGACACCCTGAACGTCAGGGCTACGGGGACCAAGAGACCAGTCGTTCGGATCCTTGAAAACATCTTCATCGCTGAAGGATACAGCCACGAGGGTGCCGATTCCTAAAATCGTGCCAGGGATTAGGTAGGCAGCGAACACTTCCAAGTCAAAATAAACAAAAACTTTTTTTTGTTGTTGTTGTTTTAATTTCAAAAGTTTGCCGGACTCTACTCTCGACTCCATTTTCTGCCTGTGACGTCAGGGGGAGGGGCCGTGCGGAAACGTCACGCATAGGTGACGTTGCGGGGGGAACCCGGTTTCGGGGTTTCTTACCAGTTCCGGGTCCCCGCAGCCGGGGTCCCGGTTCCCCCTGTTCCTTTGGGTGTGTCGGGGGACACGAAGCACCGCTATCTTCCAGAGACTCAGCAGTAAAAGCAACACTAGAGCCGGAGCTGCTCCTCTTCCCGCAAAATGGCGGCAGCTCCACTGTCTTCCAGAACCTTCCCCAATCTGCGCAGGCGCCGAAACATTCAGCCGCTGGAATTTCTCTCACTGGTTTCGCGGCAACAGTCCAAAGTACAGATTTTCATTGGCTAAAATCCTAAATATGGGTGGAGCCAAACTCAAAGGTCTCTTAGCAACAGTCAAGTTCCCATTGATTGGTTAACCTTGCCGGGACTCAAGGAAAGCAGAAGCGTCCTTAATTAGCCGCCTTTCGCTCTCATTGGTTAAACGATTTGCGGAAGGCGGGGAAAGCGAGCAGAGACCTGAGACAGAACCCTCCTGCCCAGCTCCCGGCACAGTGGTAGTCTGAACCAACACCGCGAGGTAATGAGGTCCAGTTGAGGTCCTTGGCCATTCTTGGTGATTTGCCAAGGAGCTCAAGTCGGGCTTATCCAGAACAGCATTCTGGAAAGCAACTGCATTTGCTTCCCTAGGGGAGGTGTGTTGAGCTCCACATCCCCATTCTGTCTGTACAACCTTACCAACCGCTACCCCATGCCCTCAGCGCTTGGACCTCACAAGTCTGTGACGTTTATCTTCTTTCACATCTCACATACTTTTCAGTTCAAATTAGTGCCCCCCCACAGCTCCTACTGCAAGGGTAAACTGGTAGTTTCTCAGGTGACTGGGTGCATCTGTACTCAGCCGTCTATCTGACGTCCACCCTCACATTCCAGGAGCTTCCACAACTCCCAGAGACTTCAACTGCCTAATATAGCTGCCAAAAACGTAGCTGGTTAAAACATAGGAGACGGTCATGAACTCACAGGAACCGTTTGAGTACTGATTTGAATATTAACTTTTTATCATTATACAAATTCCTTTTCTGTAAAAATGTAGAGTTGAACTAGATTACCTCTTAGGACTTCAAACTCTAATCCTGTGATTTTATCCAAACAAAATAAATGGCTTCTCTAACGCTCCCAAAGGTAACAGAGGAGCTGGTAGTGCAGCAGCTCAGCAAGGTGGAAGGGAAGCTGGCTTCACTCACTACCCCATCTCTCACGGTGACAGCAAACTCCATGCCTCCTCCCCAGAAAAGAACCTAATCAGGTCCTAAAGGACAAGACCTCTCTGTAGCTGGTCAGAAAGGCTTGTACCTGGGAGTCCAAGAGTCACCACTAAGCTTCTTAAATAGGAAATAAACCAGGCCCCTTCAAGTATTGGGTAACAGCATAGATCTGAATATGTGTAAGTAATAGCTGAAGAAGCAAAGGCAGGGGGCAGCAGAGTTGGAGCAGGAAAGGCCATAACCTCATTTTATTTGTATTTCCTCCTTACACAAAACCATCAAAATAGGAACAAAGATGGATAGGGAAGAGGGCTGAAAATTTGTTCAATTCACATGTTCTCAGAGCTATCCCAGGGAGCCCTTGAGGCTGAGTGCCTTTGGAGTAGCCACAGATCCAACATGAATTCCTCATGCTCAGGCCTGAAGTCTTCACAGATTGGTGGCGTGAGCCCCACAATTCTCCTCCTTTGTCCATCTTGATGTAAGGTAGGAAAGCGGACTGAAATGTTCCTCTCTGATGGGCACGGCGAATCAGAGCCCGTGGTGGACTGCACCTTCTGTGCTACAGGAGCAGAACCTGCAGCTGCTTTGAAGGCTCCAGACACTTGCAGGCAGGGCTAGAGGCCGATGGTGTAAGAGCGGCCTGTGGGGTTGTGAATAGCAGAGCAGACCGGTGCTGTCACAGCCCACTCATACCACACCTTCTTAGAATTGCTGCATCTCCAGAAACGCACACAGATGGTCTGGCCTTCACGCACAGTAATGGGCTGCTATAAGAAGAAAAACAGGGAGATTCAGGGTGGCTAATGAATTTTATGTGGCGAGGTACTAAGCTAAGTGTGGAGGTCATGATCAAACATAACATTCCAACCCTCATGAGGTTTGAAGTCTATCAGAACAAATAATCAGAACTGAACAATCTGACACTGAACAAATAATCAAAAGTGGGATGAATGCTGTAAACAGGGACAGTACCTATGAAAAGTAATGCTAACCTAGTCTACAAGGTCAGGGAAAATTATCTGACAATAAGAATGTCTAAAAAGACCTGGAAGATAAAGTCACCTGGGTCAGAAAATGAGCCAAGAACTTTATAGGCAGAGGACAAAGGCATGAAACCCTGAGGCAGGAAAGAACATGGGGTATTAGAGGAACCAAAAGAAGGTCCAAGGACTGAAGCAATGTAAACAAAGGACAGCAGCTGAAAAGGCAGGTAAAAACTAGATCACACCAAGTCTAACGAAGACTTAAGACTTTATCCTGGGACTTCTCTGGTGGTCCAGTGGTTAAGACTCTGCACTTCCACTGTGTGGAGTGTGGGTTCAATCCCTGGTCAGGGAACTAAGATTCCACATGCCATGTGCCAAGGCCTAAAACAAAACAGACTTTATGCTAAGGGAACTGGAAAGATATTGAAGGGCTTTAAAAGCAGGAGAGAGAGAGAGGATCAGATTTGTGTTTTTAAAAGATGACTCTTGCTCCAGGTACAGAATGGACAGAAGGATAGCCTAAGTAGATGTGGGAAGCCAGGTGGAAGGCCACTGCAAATATCGCAACATCTACAACTGCACATGAGAGCAGGAGAACAAGGGTCACAGCCAAGTGTTAACCTGGGAGAAGGGAAGGGGGAGAACATCAATGCCATCAGTTACTTTTTAACCCAAGGAGCCTTAAGGTGATACCTACCTTAATGGGGAAGAGGATGGGAAACCATGAAAACATCCCAGGAGAGTGAGTCTCTGGACGGATACCTAAGTGGACAAATGATAAAAATCGAGAATAACTGATTGCTGTACACCTGAAACTAACACAACATTGTATCAATTATATTCCAATAAAAACTAACAACAACAAAATGAGGTCTCCGTGACTCTGTTTTTTGCCTAGGTTGAGGATAGTCTCTTCTGTAAACACAGAAACAAGTCATCAAAGATCCCCATTCACTGATTGCTCGGTTCCTTGTGACTCTAAATGCAACATGTATTAAATACATAAGCTGCCCAGGTAGCATACTCTTAAACCCCCACCCACTGCCCCAGACACTCACTCAGAGTGATGTCCTGATAAAGCACAGTCTCAAAGTAGCCTGCAAAACCATGCAGCACTGTGTTCACCTCCACAGGAAACTCCAAGGTACAGTAGCGATTGTTGTCAATCATAGGATCTGTTGGGGAAGAGCTGTGTGGGTGATGAGGAACCAGAAACCCTAGACAGCTTGGTAAAACCTAAGCAGGAACCAGGAAAGGAAGCCTAGATAAGAGGCCAGATAGAGCCAGGACAGCAAGGGAAGAAACCAGGGAGGTGAGCTCACCATTTAGTCAGAGGACAGCCATGCAGGAACCCACCTCTGTTAGGATGGCTGAAGGTAAAACAGGGTTGGGGCGCAGACAGCTGGTGGAAATTGTGCAGTCGTACCACATAAGGCATCTCAAACTGGGCCTGTCCCAAGAGAGAGAAAATGATATCTGAAGAAGACAGGCAAGAGCTACCTAATTCCTCGGGGAATGCAGCTCAAGATCTAAGGACACAGACAAAGATAAAAATGTAGTTTCACTTCAGTTACTTTCCCACATCCCCAACTCCTTCACCTCTTCATCTCCTCCAGTGGAAGAAAACAGTTATGCTGACAGAGAAAAAGAAAGGCACTAGAGAGAAGAGACCTCCAGAAGAGAGTGGCTCTTTACCTCAGGGTCACGGTCCTTTTCCCGACAGGCTCGGACCTCATTGTATAGCTTGGAGGAGGAGATGGGAGCTAGAAAGGAGGTGTACTCCCCAGGGATGCTCACACCATCATCTGCAGAACAGAAGGGGCACATTACTTCCCAGGGGATGGAAATGGTGCATCTGTACTGAAGGCACAGACCTCCCACATCAAAAGAGACCCAGGCAGCTCCATGTTGTCACATTCCCAGGCCAACCTGCCCCCAGCTCATGCCCAAAGGCATTCTACTTGCAGGTTAATTTAGAGTCACGTAAGAGTAAAACTGGAAGGACCCCAAAGTATTCTAACCTAATGGTCCTTAACTTTCTTTCCTTTGAGCTAGTGATGAAAGCTAAGTCCATAGCTAAGTCATAGTAGTTCAGGGAGTCCACAGATCTCAGACTAAGATCTCTGCTCTGGGGGCTTTCCTGGTGGCTCAGTGGCAGAGTCCATCTGCTAATGCAGAAGACATGGGTTCGATCCCTGGTCTGGAACAATCCCACCCGCAGAGCAGGAACTGAGCCCATGCACCACAACCATTGCGCCCACACGCCCCAGAGCCTGCGCCCTGCAACAGGAGAAGCCACTGCAGTGAGAAGCCCATGCACTGCAACTGGAGAGCAGCCCCCGCTCTCCCCAACTAGAGAAAAGTCCATGCAGCAACGAAGACCCAGCACAGCCGTAAATGACTAAATATTTTTTAAAAGTTTCTGCTCTGGTCCACTCCCCTCATTTTACAGATGTGAACACCCACACCGGAGGTTTAGGGAGACTGTGTCACTTGCCAAGGGCACTGACCCAAGTCTGCCCTGCCTCCCCTAAACTCTGTAACCTCTTCTAAGCTGCTGCCACACCCACCCCTCCCAGCCCCACTGAGCCTTCCCAGTTAATAATCCAATCCCCTTATTCAGTACACCCCAGCCTGGATGCACCTTTGAGGAAGTGCTGGGCTCCATCCAGGCACTCAGGTGACAGTTCATTGTCAGCAAAGGACCCCAGAAGCTCACTGACGATGATATCTGCTTTCTCTGGAGCCACCCACTCCCGCATGTCGGATGAGACTACTGTCACCTGGCTTCCCCATTCTTCAAACTGCCAGTTCTCCAGCCTAAAACAGATGAAACAAGTCAGGAGAAGAAAGAAAAACTAGCACTGGGGACAAACTTCCCAGCAACAAGGTTGCTACTCACGTCACCACAGCATTTGGGTTCTTCTCCACAGCGTACAGCTTTATCCGCCGGTCAGCTTGCTTGGCGGCCCGCAGGGACGCATTCACCAGGGGCCCCCGGCCTGCTCCCAGCACCATCAGCACTCTAAGAAACAGAGGGAGCAGTCAAGCTGACTCTACATGTACAGGCAGGCATGCACATCTCTGGGAATCAGGCAGAGAGCACTCACTGGATGTTGGTGTCCTTCTCTTCCTCTGGCACTCGATCTAACAGACATTTATAGATGGCCTGGGGGGAAGGAGGGAAGACCTTGTGGCTGTAATGCCATCTTCACCCAGGTCATCCCAGCCCTTTGCCTGACACTGAGACCCACACTGTACCTGCTGGTACTGAGAGTATTTGATGGGGTCCTTTTCGAACACTTCGTATGTCTGAGATTCCAGGTTATCCATCAGTGGCTGATGAATGAGAGGAAAAAGACAGAGTAAGTTAGCCACTTTCTGGCAAAGACAATGGTATAGAATACCAAAACCTTCCCACGGTTTCCTGAGCTCTGGTGAGATTTTATGGTACCTGCTTTCAAGATACATTTCCTCCCCCCACCTCCATCCTCTTAGTTCACTCCAGACCCACCTGGAGTGGGGACTGCAGGTAATCTTCATAGCCCTTGGCAAAGAGTTCGTAGGCATTGGGTGGAGGTCGGTTCTGGCTCAGGTATTCCAAGTATTGGAGGTAGGAGCAGAACTCCTTCTCTGAGTGGTGGTTGGTGCCTGTGATGATGAACTGTACCTCCAACTGTGAGAATAAGTAAGGCCATCAGACACAGTCCTTGAACCAAGAGGATATTATTGAAGTTTTTGGCCAAAGAGCTCCAGCATAAAATAAGGCCCAGATCACCAAATACCTCTCAATACCAACAAAAGCACAAAGAACCCTCCTATACCACATAAGCATCACCCTGGCATAAGGGACCCCATGGATCACTGCTGTAACTTTTTAGATCAAACTTTCTGCAAAGTTCTCATGAGACCCAATTCCTTTTGAAATGTTTCTGGGGCTTCTACTGCTATTTGTCCTTTTGCTCTCAAGGCCCCCAACTTTGCTGAAATTGCTCTCCAGAAATTAGAGAGGAAGTGTCAGCCCCCACCCCCCAACACACAAATTCCCATTACACATATGTGATTAAAACAAGAAGATTAGCTGGAACACCTTGAGAATCCTTCCACTACACACCTTGAGAAGTCGGAAGATCAGCCTCTGGTGCATCTTAGAAAGAACAGGAAATCCCTTCTTATTGGTCAGGAAAATGCTGGTGGGGAGAATGGCTGCTTTGATGGGCTCCCCAAGCCAACGATCAATGACATGATTAGATGGGAGGTCAGCACCAATTTCAAGAGCTACAAAAGGGAAAACAAAGACCTGTCAATCACATAGGCCAGAATCTTTGCATGCTCTTTTGTGCAAGATCTGTCTCCTCCTTAAGAGCAAGGCAGACTAAAGCACGGAGAAAGCATGCCCCAGCAGCCAAGCACACATGAGACTCCTGATTTTAAGTCACAGGACTTTAGAGAAGGATAACCTATCCCAGGATCTTTGTGGACTTACCCACTGCAATCCTCTTGCTATAATCACACAAGGTCCGGAAGTTGTGCCACCTGTGCAGAGTCAAAATACAGAAGTTAGTTGCTCAGTCGTGTCCAGCTCTTTGTGACCCCATGGACGGCAGCCCTCCAGGCTCCTCTGTCCATGGAATTTTCTAGGCAAGAACACTAGAGAGGGTTGCCAGTTCCTTCTCCAGGGGATCTTCCTGACCTAGGGATTGAACCCAGGTCTCCAGCATTGCAGGCAGACTCTTTACTGTCTGAGCCACCAGGGAAGCTCTGGCTGGCCCACCAATCACCACACCTCAGGGAGACCTTCCTACAGGTTCCACCCTATCTCCCTCCACCCCAGGCACAGCAGCAAAAGGAAACATACCACATCCATGTCTTCTCCTCTCCACTGTACTCCGCTGTGTGTGAAGTCGGTGCATTCTCAATTATATCATCTCTCAGGTCCTCTGGTGCCACCAATGGCACCCGCATCCAGAACTGCACATGAACAATAAATAGGTTCAACACCCTATTTAGAACTCTATTTTGAACCCATTGAGTCCAGAAAGCTTCCTTCAATTAAAAAGATCTTGATCCAGATTTCAAGCTAATCCCCTTATATCCTTTCCCCAATTTGTGATTACATGTTGTCTTTTATCTCTGGAAGTTGCGGGAAGTAACTGATATTCTATATGTTTTATAATACTTTGCTTACCACTCTTAATTGTGGGTAGGCAGTATTGACATTTCAATTCTCCCAAATGCACCCTTTACTGAATGGCTAGGAACAAGAAGATACTTAGCACAGCCTGACTATCACAATATGCAGCACGAAAGGAGGCCCTCGCCATACCATGGAGGAGTGGTGGCCAGTGTGGATGTGATTGGTCAAAACTCTTGCCAAGTTTGTGTTATCTTCCTGATTTAGGGGCAGCAAGAAAGCTGGAAGACCCAAATATGCCCCAAAATTCAGCTCCTGTAACATAGCCTGGAATAGAGATTAAAAGGATAAAGTTACGCGCTAGCAGCTCAAATAGCTTTAATTGCATTATATCAAATTTACTAAGTTACAGAGTGGGGAAAAAGTGCTCTCCCCCACCAGCTTGTTTACAGATATTTAGAGTCAGTGAAGAGATCAGTCTTACCGCCTCAGAGTTCCTGCGTATCTTCTCCACTTTTGAGTCTGGACGAATCCATGGAGAAAGCTTTCCCACAATTAGTGTATTCCAGTCTGCACTCCCCCACCCAAGAAAGACAAAGACTAAATAAGGTTCAGCACTTTACTCATTCAATTTCTAGCTCTTAACAGGGAATAGAGTTAGAGATGAAAGACAAAGACTTTTTCTATCACAGATACAGGAGAGCCTAACAGAATAGGGAACTAAGGCTTTTCGCAGGTAGGTAAGGAGAGAACAAGAGTTATCTATATCCGTGGGGCGAACCAATATATCCAGGTCAAGAAAGGAAGAGGAGGAAGGCACTGATAAAGCATACGTCGTTACTGCCTCTAGTCATGAAGGGGCATGTGGGACGCTCCCTACCCCTTCCTGACAGCAGTAGGTCTGATCGTGTCTGGGGGCCCGGCCGACTCTTAGCAGGTTCCTGAGTGAATTCCCTCTTGAAACGCGGGTGGAACACAGGCATGCAGAGGAAATCAAACCTACAACCGCGACAGACCCAGAATCGTCACGTAAAGACAGCAGCAGTGCCCAGAGATCCAAGTAATTGGACTGGCTCTCTTGATTCTGCACAACCCTTTCAGCTGCCACCAGTCAGCGACCCGACTAGACTGCTGAATTCAGCCAACCTTGGGGCATATCACTTCCGCTGCACTGTGCCTCAATTGCTCGCCAGGACACAGCCATGGAAAAGATGAGTTAAGAGAACAGATGAATATCCACACCACGTGGACTCTACTCTGCTGTCACTCGTTTTCCGAGACTGTCGCATCCAGATCGGCAGCAGTACTGCCCAAGTATCCCCCCTCTAGGTTTAGCTCTCCTCTCCCTAACCTCCTAACTCTCGCCCAATCTCATACGGTAATCTCGCTCTCCAGGGCCCTGGAGGTCTCTACGCCCCCTTTTTGAGTTTACCTGATAATTCCTCCGACTTTGGGGTTCAGTGACCACAAGCCCCCAGTAAGTTTCCCGCCCTCCTCTCACGCTCCAGGGCCCGAGGCTTCTCCCCCCGAAGGACTAAATGGTTTCTCCCGCCCTGGTCTCATCCACTCCGACCCCCTCACCCCTGCCTCTCGGGGATGACTGGTCTGCCCCTTGCGGTCCCCGAGTTCGGACCCCGCATTCATCTCGCGGAGGTCCAGGCCCTCACCCCTGCTTGGCCACAGCCCCCAGTGTGTCAGCTATTTCGGGGACGCAATTCAGGTCCCTCCCGCTGGACACGCGGCTTCCACCGGCACCACCGACCGCCATCGCCGCCATCTTTTTCCCTCGCGCAGTCCACGCCGAGATTCCCTGAAGCTAGCAGCCAATCACAAAGCCGGAAAAAAGCCCCCAGAAGGCGGGACGTTTCACCTTAACAACCAGAGCGTCCTCCACGGCTCTGGAGCTGGAGGAGGAGGGGTGGGGAGTGGCTCTTCTCGCCAATCCGCGGGAGTGGCTCTTCTCTGCACAGTGACGTACGGCGAAGCTTCGGAAGAGTCACCAATCTGAGTCTGGTTCTTGACGAACTTAATCTCCCATAATGCTTCGTGTACTCGTAGAACTCCATGCAGAGACTACACGTCCCATGAAGCCCTGCAGTGTAAGCTTGAAGTGTCATCATTAGGGACGGTGAAGTCGTCTCGGGGCCAGTGGCGCAATGGATAACGCGTCTGACTACGGATCAGAAGATTCCAGGTTCGACTCCTGGCTGGCTCGGTGAGATGTGTGCGTTTTTATTGCATATGAGAGTCTCCCTGTCTTCCCTTTCTAAATTTCCTTATAATCTCCTCTTACCCTCATTTTGAACTCATAATTTTACTGCGTTCTGCAGCCATTTTATGTCAGCTTTTTCCATTGCCTAATTCAAAGATCGTTCTTTTGTCTCTACTTAGGTCCATCAAAATCCTGAGAAAATTGAGGTAATGACTAACTTGGGCTTTCTATGGGCCTTAGTATATTTTTAAATAGATTTTGGCAATTTAGCCACCAATTCCTTTCGGGTCTATATCTCAAACAAACAAAAAGTAAATAAACATCTCATTTAAACACACACACACACACACACACACACACACACTGAAGATAGGAAGAAAAAAACAAACTTATGGTGAGGAATTACAGTGGAGAGGAGTTATGAACAGCCAGTGGAGACCTGAGAGAATCTCAACATTTTCCTTTTGAGAGAATCTCTACATTTCCCTTTGTGAATACCTGCTAGAGGGATGGAAAAGAAGGAAAAGAATGAAGCAAAGAAAGATATAGGGAGGAGAAAGAGAACCTGAAGGCAGGGGCCCAGAGATGTTGAGGGCCTGACAGCGAGGATGGAAAGAGGACTTAATACGAAAGGCCCGAGGCAGGAGGCATTGACAGAACTTAATGACAGACTGACAGGAAATCTGATAAGGGAAGTCTGCGGGTGAAGCCCAAGATTTTGGCCTGTTTGAGTGCTACAGGAAATGAGAAGCTCTTTTAGGGAGAATCAGGGTTTGGGTTTGGAAATGCTGAATTGGACGTCTAGGGGGCGCTGTGTAATAGAGAGTTGGATGAATAGCAATCTGAACCAGACAAGATTTGGAAAGCGCCAGAAGAGAGGTAGTGACTTTAGCCTTGAGACTGGATGAGTTAACCGTAGCCCGTGGGGGATCAGAGTTCTGAGAAATACGGAATGGCTGTGAATAGGATAAGCTATAAGGAGCCCTGGGTGCAATGTATTTAGTGCGTGCCCCCAAAAGGTAAAGGTTAGAAAACTAAAGAAATAAGAAAATGCCTATGAAGCCTAAGAGTTGGAGGTACTTTTATCCTATCTTATTATTATTATTACTAGACTTTTTTTCTTAAAAGTTTTAGAATTATAGAAATATTGAGTAGGTAGTACAGTACAGCCAGCTCTCTCATGTCTTCTTACAGCTTTCTCTATTACTAACATCTTAACATTAGTATGATACATTTATTACTATTGGTGGACCAGAATTGATGTATTATTATTATTAACTAAAGTCCATAGTTTATTTAGATTTTCTTAGTTTTTATCTAATGACTTCTTTTTGTTCCACCATCCCATCCAGAATACCATTACATATAGTTGTCATATCTGCTTAGGCTCCTCTTGGCTGTGACAGTTTCTCAGGTGCTCCTTATTTTTGATGACTTTGATAGTTTTGAAGAATACTGGTTAGGTATACTGAAGGACATCTCTCCATTGGAATTTGTCTGATGGGGTTTTTCATTACACTGGCGTTATGGGTTTGGGGGAGGAAGATCACAGAGGTAAAGTGGCCATTTTCATCACATCATATCAAGAGTACATACCATCAACATAATTTTTGACTCTTGATATAACCTTTATGACCCAGTAGAACTAGTGTTTATCATGTTTCTCCACTGAAAATTACAGTCCTTCCCCTGTACTCTTCGGAAGGAAGTCACTATGTGCATTCCACACTTAAGGGGAAGGTAGTTATTCTTCCCCTCCTTTAAGGTGAAGTGTCTACAGTATTTGTTTGAATTCTTCCCTGAAGATCTTATGAGTAGGGAGTTGACCGGAAGTGGGTGATTCTCTGCCGACATTATAAGAAGAAGAAGAGTTGTTGAGAAGGCCTGCTTGTTCTCTGCCCCAGCTGTGCTCAACCAAACTCTATATTCACAGAAGACTTATGAGATGTTTCATCTTCAGAAAAAGCTAATTATCTGGGCTGTGGACCATCTGTGTTCCTGGCATCTTCCTCCTGATGTCAAGCTTTCTGGTGGCTGCTCTGCTGATTGTCAACTAACTCATCCATGGGTGAAAGGGAGAGAGGAAAATCTATGAAATCATAATGTCAGTTTTGTCATCAGTGAAAATAATTTTCAAAAGGTTTTGTGTTAAAAAGAGCCTAGAATTTCTGACTGACCTTAAAGTAAGTTTAGATTGGCTGAATTTCATTCATCTGAGATGTCTTTGTTTTTTCATTCAAAATGGCCTCTACCGTGTGGCAAGCATGATGCTCAACGGTTCCAGGTAATTCCACACCACATTGCTCTCCACCTCTTCTACATTTTGCTTTGTGTTAAAGAACAGCACGGGGTCTGTGGGTCTGTCTGTATGAGCTACAGAGAAGCGAAAGGGAATGAATGAAAAATAAATAGAGAACATTTTAAAGGGCTTGGCCCTAGGCATAAAGTCAGAGTTAATCAGTTCTGTCTCATCCTTTGCTTCCCTCTCCTCTGCTCTCCTTGCTGAACTTTTGTGCTCACAAGTGTGTCAGTCACTGTTAACACTATTGCATGTAGGCCTTTCCTGGAATGAAGATAAGGATCTGGTGGGTGAGAAATAACGTTGCTTTCTCCAGGAGCCAGTGACTAACAGGTCAGCGCTCTGGAAGCGTTTCTGGAAAGAAAGGAGTTCCTTTGGAACCCAAAGGAAGTTCCACTTCCAGATAACCCTCCAGCATTCCTCATCTTCAGGCCCAGTCCTTCTACCTTCTCTTGTTTTTCTGTCCTTGTTTAAACACTGCCAGTGAATTGTGAACTCTCCTTTCACTTTCTCTTGAGCTCTCCTCCTCCCTCAACACTGGTCTCCCTCCCCAGGCCCACCTTCACTCACCTCTGTGCCTGCCCAGCCAGCCGCACTCTTCAACACCAAAATAATGGCCCATTTGACCCTCCTACTGCTCCAAATTGCTTCTTCACAATCAAGGCTGTCCTCCAGCTATGAAAGTGGCAGAGTTACTGAGGCAAAATAATCTGTGCCAATTTGCATTCTCTTCCTTGTCATCTCTATTATACAGTATTTATCTGTCAAAATGAATAGAAAGTAGAAACTGTTCTGGAACATAGAAAAAGATGGAAAACTACCCAATTGTTTATGAGGCCAGAATATACCTAATATCAAAACCTGTCAGAAGGAGGACCCTTCCAAAAGAGCAAACCTATAGACTTACCTAACTTAGGAATATAAATGTAAAAATCCTATAATATTTGAGATTAACAATAAATGTCAACAGTATATTAACATAATAATAATATATCAGAAACAGCATTTATCCCAGATATTAGCACAGGTTAGGTATTAGGAGATTTATTTATATGATAGGTCAAAAGTAAAGCAAACAAGAAAAACACTTGATCATTTGTAATAGTCATCAAAGAGAACATGGTAAGTAAATTCCATTTTCTAAAACATTCTTTTTTTTAAAATTATTTTTAATGATTTATGTATTTGAATGGGCTGAGTCTTGGTTGCCACATGATGGGATCTAGTTCTTCGACTAGGGATTGAACCCCAGCCCTCTGCATTGGGAATGTGGAGTCTCAGCCACTAGACCACCAGGGAAGTCCCTCTAAAACATTCTTAATATTTTTTGTATGTAAACACATATATACCTGTATGAAGTCAACAATTCATGTAAATATAAAATAATACAAGAATGTCTTATCACTGTGTTATTTAATATTATTCTAAAAAAATCTGATACAATAAGCCTGGAAATTTTTAAAAAGGAGTTATAACTTTTAGAAAGAAAGAGGCAAATTTATCATTGTTTGCTGATGATATGATTGTGCATATAGAAAATCCATGAGAACCAATTCTAAAATGATGAGAATTAATAATAGCATTCAGAGACACCACATGATACAAGACAAATATAAAACATGTCCTTAGCCTTCCTGTAAACTAAGAATAACCAGTTAAAAGGCATAACTAATAAAAATATCTCAATAACCTGGTAGTTAAGGTCATAGACGGTAGAGCCAGGTGGCAAGAGGTTAAAGCCCTATCTATCCATTTACTAACCATGTGAACTAACCCCTCTGGCCTCAGTTTCTTCATCCACAAAATGAAAATGTAAATTATAGTTATCTCATAAAGCTATGATGAATGTTAAATTAGCTAATATTGCAAAACATTTAGAACCTTTCTGCACATAGGAAGCTTTCAATATACATTAGCTATTGTGATTAGTTTCTTACCCATTCACAGAGGTGACCATAATATCACCATAAACTAGTTAGCTATAACTTTAGTGGAAAATATGAAGAAACTATATATGGAAAACCTAAAATTTTGCTGAGAGATATAAAGACTGAAAAAATGGAAAGACAAGCCATGTTCTTAGAAAAAATGAATCTTATAAAGATGTCAGTTCTTAATAAATTACTTTCTCACTTTTTCTACATTTAATCACAATTCTAATGGAATCTTTTGTTACTTTATTAAATGATTCTACCATTCACTGGTGAGTTTCACAGGTGGCGCTAGTGATAAAGAACCTGCCTGCTAATGCAGTAGATATAAGAGA